TTGTCAGAGCTAGCAAATGAAATCCAGTGGGCTAGACAATTGTTAAACGATCTAGGAGAGGAATGCAGTGGAGCAACCATGCATTGGCATGGCAGAGTCAGAAAATCTAAAACGTAGAACAAAGTATATCGCAGTGAGATACCAAAATGTGAGAGAACATGTACAAAGTGGAACACTGAAGCTACATATATTGGCACAGAGGACAATGTAGTAGACATTCTTACGAAACCTTTATCAGTAGAACAGCACACGAAATTGACTAACAGGTTAGGTATCAGCGAGTAAAGTGACAGTATATAAAAGGATAGGTGTAAATGACACATGGGGCACACTACATGTCATTTGGAGGGGAATGTCAGGAAATGACATGGTTGTGACCACAAGATGGAGCTGTAAGCTTGGTAATATAAGTGGTTAAGCTCCAGTGGCAGGTGTGCGTGAGTCAGCATTTGGGAGGATCCACACCTGGGATGCCTGATGCAAGAGGCATAGTTAACTGGCTATAAAAAGGAGATGGGAATTATCTTCTGTGTGGATTTGTTGTGGATGGTGGTTGGCAGAGCAGTTTGTTGGTTAGGAGAAAGATTTATGAGTATTAGAGATGGCTGTCCTATACTCTGTATATATATTGTAAATATACTGCAAACAAAGATTAAAGCCCTCAAGTTGAGTGAAGGTTGGCCTTGTTGCTGACTTTATTTGGCAAGCCAGAGCTCAAGGCAGTGTGCTGGGGTTTAGGAATTTTTCCTTCTCAGCCTGAAGTCTTTTGCAGAAATCTCTCCAGAAACCTTCTCCTTGGCATCCTGTCGACGTGGAACAACTCTGCAGGTGTTCGTGGTGGACACAGCATGTCTTTCTACACCCGAACATTACCTGCATCCCAAACAATATTACTCTCAGTTCCTTTGTCAAAATTTAATTCAAAGTACTCCTTGATTTTTTTCATTATAGTCTACATTGATAATATTTATAGAAGTAGAAACTATACATACAGAGTTCCTCTCAGTACTCACAGTAGCTCACAATAACTCATAACAATAACTCACCCTTGAATAACTCACAATGACTCACAGTGTAACTCACAAATGATTTACATTAGTCACCGCTATATAAACCTTAGGCTGATGCAACTCTCCAGTCAACGGCATAATGCATTACCTCATAATGCTGAGTTATACATATCACAGGTGCAGTACTTAATACATATCTTGGTGCCTGGCCACCTCAAGGTCATTTATCTACATGCTCTGGCCTTGTCACACATACACACACATCATGACTGCAGTTCTACAGATCTTAATTTTACTTTGCAATAAGCTGACAATTGTGTGACAAGGAGTTGCAAAAGGACCCAGCCGGAGTCCCTGTTTCTGCTCACTGTAGGAAATATTAGTATTTATATTAAGCAGAGTGCAGTATGCCCCAATGCAACATGAGCTTCTGGTATAAATCTGGATAGAAATATGCAGGATCTTCTGGTAATGTTTTAAAAAACCTTATATTTATTTTTGCAAAAAATCCATCAGAAATAGGAAATTAGATAGACAAAATTTACCTACATTTTGGTAGAAGAGTCCCTAATACTGACTCTCGTGTCTGGATTTAAGAGCTGAAAAGTCTCATGGATGCTTCCTTCTCAGACAAAGGGTTGTAAAACACTAAAGGGAAGGGTTGTGACCTCTGTAGACAAGAAGCTGAAAAGGTTTG